GATGAGATAGAGAGACGTGCTCTTGAAGAGAAAAAACTGGCAAAGGTAGGTTGATCATCTCTTACTCAATCCTTGGGCGCATAAGCATATTAGGCTTTGGACGAAGCCCATGGCTTCACCTTAATTCCCAGTATTTTTAGCTTTTACAACCTCTTGAATTTTTTGTTCCCAACATAATATGACGCCATCTAAGTGTGCCATGGCCATACAAACTGCCGAGAGCCCCCCCTCCAGCCTTGAAAAAGCGGAAGCAGTCATCAACGAATGACTACGTAAGCTCAGTATGTTCTTGTGATATGGTTTTTAATTTTGCTGTTTTAGCAGCTTTGTTGTGGGTGGGTAAACCGAGCTTTGGTCTTTTGGCAGGGAAAGAAGAAGAAATGATGCCGGACTATTGTGGTGGATCCTTCGTTGTTGTCTGACGAGAGTTCGACCTGATGCTACTATTCAGATTATAAATTGGCATCCCTAGTATGAATTTTAGAGAGCACATGCAGTGTTGTCTGAACTATAGAATATTTATTCGGATGGGCATATAGGACGCTTTAAATGTCCCCATCAAGGGCAGTTTAATATGTACCCGATGGGCAAAATTTACAGTTTTAATATAATAGCAAAGAAAGATTTATTAGTCCTGTGTCATGTTTCTTTATAAATTCTTTTCTCACCAGTTGAGTTGCAGAATTGGTTCAGAGAGAAAGAAGTGCTTGTTGAATTTGCCCGGTTTGTAGGTTACAGTTCTAAATATGTTTGATCAGCTAGAAATTGAACAACCCCGTTTAATACTAATAGGTTGAGATTGTGAGTAGCTTGCCAAGTTATGCTAATGCTGTTTTCTGTTTGGAGAATTGAGACGTATATCTGATGACACTTGAGCTCATGTTCGGTATATAGTATAGGCGTATCCCAGTAAAATAAATACAGTACATAATCTGCAGGTGGAATAGGGGAGAGTGGTCTCATTTATTGGTTTTAGCCGTGTGAAGATCAAACCTTTTTCTATAAGCAAAACAAAATGACTCAGAAATCCTTTCACATTGAGCTCTACAACAATATAAATTGAACCAATGTAATGCCCCAAAGAAACCAACTTGAGGCTCTCTTACACAAGACTATATACGGAGGAAAGATGCACTTCTCCTAGAATAATAGTGATACATTGAGGTTCTAGTGCAACGAATCATTTGTACCGTCAAAACTAACACCGCCATTTGCCCTCTTTCGTCCTCTCCAATTCTCGCCCCACACTTTTGCATCAGCAACTGCTCGTTCTCTGTCTAGATCCCGGTTCCTTGGAGCTTCTCTACCTCTACCTGCATTAACAGGTGTGTCTCTTTGAGAATCAGGACGCTCTAGCTCATCTAAACCCCATTTCCGGCCAGAACCACCACCAGTTTCAATCCTCCGCAACTCTCCATTATTAAACTCCTTGAACGAGTCTCTCTTCCTGAAATCAGGCGAATTCTTGTTGACGGAAGGGGAACCATGGTGGCTGCTGCGTCCAGACTCATCCAGGCTATCAGTTCCAATAGACATGTTTCTTCGTGCATCCCGATGCCTCGGAGTGGATGCATCAATTCTATTGCTGTGTGGAGGAGGATCATTAGGGTCATATGTTTGGGATGCTAGATATGTCAAAGCAGTCACCACATCCCCAATTAGGGGTCGTGTGGCAGCTTGCTCTTGTAGACACATGGCAGCCACTGCTAGTGCTTGATAAAGTCCACGAATTGGATAATGGCCTTGTAGTAGAGGATCGGCCATCTTTGGAAACTTCCTTCGATCCCTGAAAAGTGGTCTTGCCTGCATCCATTTACACAAAAAGGAATGAAAGAACAGAAGATATCAATCGATGTCATTTCAACATGCTGTCCAATAAATTACAATTGCAAGTTGAGTATTTAACATACATCCTTAGAAAAACTCAACATACCCATGCAACAAGATTCTGCTCGCCTGGAGCCTGCCTGTTATCAATTGCCTTGCGCCCTGTGATGATTTCAAGAAAGACAACTCCAAAACTGTAAACATCAGATTTCAAAGTGAGTTGACCAGTCATAGCGTATTCTGGAGCACAATAACCATAAGTCCCCATCACCCTCGTAGAAACGTGAGTTTTATCACCAACGGGACCCAGTTTTGCAAGCCCAAAATCTGATAACTTGGGGAAGTATCCCTCGCCGAGAAGTATATTGGATGATTTCAAGTCTCTGTATATCACAGGAGGGCTGACTTTGTCATGCAAATATTCTAATCCCTTGGCCGCGCCAGCAGCAATCTTCATTCTTGTATTCCAGTCCAGAGGTTCTTTTTCCGGCGGAAGATCTGCATGTAGATACCATGTCATTAACAGGGTAGGTCTATAGAAAAGTCATTCAATTACTTTTTTCAAAGAAGAAAAGGGCAAAGACGACAACGGATTATTTACTTACACTTGCAATTTTGTTTCCAATAGACATCTTCTCAATTATTAAACTATAAAAAGTTCCAAGCACAAAATCAATCCTGTTTTTGTCTATGGAGTTGTTTGAGACCCATTTTTTGGTAGAATAAGTTTTATAATAGTGATTTTTTTTTGGAGAATGTGTGGTTTAAAGGTAGAGAAAAGTTTTGGATTTATGTGCAAAATTATTTTAATGAAAGAATGTAGGGTTGAAAATGAGTTTGAAAGGGCTCAAACAGGGGCTATATTTTCAAAGAGATGCTCAAATGTAGAAATCAGATAAAGACTCGGTCTCAGCCTGACTAAAGGATTAGCCTGTGAATCTAAAATGAGGCCTAAAATATACCCCAATTGCATCCCATAGATTTCACATTCATTCCAAGCACATTGCCTTGGTGTTGTCAAATATCCATAAAACAGGAAAGAAGGTTCAAAATTAATTAAATAAATGAAGAGATTTATGTATTTTTAAATAATATCACAAGAATAAGACTTGATTCCCTAATAAGTGCTTGTTAAATTTTTGGTATCCCTCCTCTCTCCCCAAGGAATACATCAACTTTCTATTTCAACTATATTTTTCTCACGCCATCAGTGGAGAATCAAGCTAACAGCATAATTCTTATTGAGCTAATAGTATATCTCTATTTTTCTCATGCCCTTAGTGGAGAATCGAGCTAATAGTATAATTTTCACGCCATGGATTTGCAGGCTTCTAAAGGAATATATTGGCTATAATCAATAGTATAATTTTTATTATGCAGCCCTAAATGTTGATAGAGTTAGCCACCAGTTGAATACATTCTATAAATTGGTTTATAAATTCAGTCAAAGTCAAACATTAATTTCAACTACACATCCAAAACTACTAATTATTATCCATGCATTTTGTGTGACCCATTACCGTTCCTATTTATAAACCATTTATAAATTTACCATATAGGAGGCTTACATTACTATTTTTTAAAGAAAAAATAACAATGTACAAACTTGCACAAAGTTTGCAAAAATTAGCAGCACTAGTTCAGACACCCCAAATTGCAAAATAGCTCAAAATCATGAAATAAAGCACAAACCTAAACAATGAAAAAGCTAAATGGTCCTCTGTGAATCTTATGTTGTTCTACCATTTCAGACAAGTAGATAGAGTGATGTGAATGGGCTGTATTCTAAGCCAGAATTTCCCATTCGTTCTCCTTTATGAATATCCAAGGACTGTCTACAATATGTACTCTTACCTCTTTTATTGAATACAAATGGAGATATACGTACCCACTTAATTTCCAACAATTAGCAACCTAATGATGGGACAAATCAAGATGTTCTAGTACCATTTTTATATTGAAGGAGGAAGCTCACGCTAACAGCTAGAAAAGAACACACGCAATATAATAAGGATGATCATTCAGCATTTCTTGAGCTTTTTACGGAAACTCAGGAAAATTTATTCATTTCGATCCTTGTTTATATCATGGTCGATAAGCACACACATCAAAAGTTACGGAATAGGACAAAATGGTAGCATAATATCAGAGATCCACTTCTCCAAAGAATTTGTTTGAATTGTTCATTACAAACTTTTTGAGTTGATAAGTCATGCATGGATTGAATTTGAACCCATGCTAAATGTTTCCAGAAATTCTTTCCCACTATAAACAAATTGTGGTTTCTCATATTCATATTACAGTAAGATAAATTCGAGTTTTGAGCTACAAGGAATTCAAATCAGCTTGAGCTTAGACAAGTCATAAGCCTTTCCCCATTTAGATGAAAGGCCCCCTATCGAATCAGAATTCTAGAGTTAAGTTCTATAATTTGTTCAGTAGATCCAATTGAAAGTGTATTAGCCAATCTCTAACTCTATAGTGAGGCAGGAGCGCTGCATGTCATGAATTACCTAGTATTTCTTGAATAGTTCGAGAGAAAACAACAAGACATACGCTCAGGGCAAGTGTTCATAAATACAGTGAACATCCAATGACTCCCCACCCTGGCACATATTTTTTATATTTTATTCTGGACAAAGGTCCCCATAAAATAAAATTTCATGATATATAGTACCAACATTGTGCCCTTCTCGAGTTAACAACTCAATGATAATGTAAGGGCCACATGACGAGAATCATTGGCTTTAGTCTTATCAAAAAGGAAAAAAAAAAAGGAGAATGGGTGCAAGTCTTTGCACAATGGAAAATGGATCATATGACAATGCCATACTGGTAGGCAAGTTCAGGCAAGAATCTTATTCATGATAATGCCAGAATATTTTGAGGGGTGTAACCAAATGTAACTGTTACTATTATTACTAGAGTAAGCCATTCTACAGTCTCCCATAGCTGCCCGCAGCAGTAGTTGTTGGAGGTGGAACTAGCCTCGTTTGTGCAGAACTCTAAAATTTTTCTTATCCCACCATTTTATTTAACAAATAAGTCCCTCTATATTTTCAATATATGACCCTCCTTGAAATCCATAGCCTGGTAAGAGGTCGTTGAACTGCCTCCAGCCACCTTCTCCATAGCATTCAGTTAGCATGATTTGCACCCACACACCATGAGAACTTGCTAGCAAAATGTGGCTATGGACATCTCCACCTTAGTTATGTCGCTTTTGATCATTTGACTTTCTTTATCTATAAGGACAAATGATTACCAAATGTAAAAGAGTTTTCCACATCTTTAAATATGTACTATTACTTATAAACTAAAAACTTAGTTTACTCTTAACAATTTTTAGTCAACTCAAATACTCTATATGCACAGTAATTTTATAGATAGTATACAACAAATATAAGTAGTTTCTTACATGACAAGTGCTGTATAATAACTCTATTGTGGTCCTCAAAATAAAACAACTACTAAGCCAAAAATATAATATGATACAAGTATGGTGAGTATAAAATTATAAATATTTGGCAACCACATCAGCCTATATTAATTGTGGTCTACCTATACATCTTCTAACAAAGTCTATCGAGCTCATATTGCTCCTATAGATGGAAGCTTTTTCAAGGTCTACGTGAGTGTGCCTCAACCATCTAAGTCTTCACCATCTCCATTTATTCTATCATCAATAAGTGGCATATCCGCTAGTTGGTTAAATTCTTTTATTTTATCTATTCACTAGTATGACCATCTATTTATCTTTTGGCACATTTATCTCATGTAAATTTGAAACTACTCAACATCCCTAATGTACAACCAATCCAATAACCGTTGGCACTTCTCTGATAGGAACATTGTATCTTTTTAGCTCGAGAGGCTTAATTCTCTCCCTAATCCCTTCTCAATTTCTTGACAGCCCCAAGCAGAATACCACTCACCCCTATTATTTTGGCTCAATGATTTCCCACAATACCCCTTAACAAACTACAAATGAACTGGTACAAATATATATGGCCCATTTGGCAGGACTTTTAAAAAGCCAAAAGCTGTTTCTAAGACTAAAAAACTACTTTCGAATATGTTTGAATAATTTTCTATAAGTGCTTTGTATAGCTTTAAGAGTTTTTAAAGGAAGTTGGCCTAAGATAACTTTCTTATGAAACTCCACTACAAGAAGTATAAGCCATGTCAAATGGGATCATAATCCACTACAAATGAGCTCACTTCATCACCACTCTTCAGCCCTCCGGATTTCCTTTCCCCATTAAGAGTGTAAAGTGATACAATGCCTACTAGCTCTAGTCTTTTGAATTACACCATCTTCAAGTCTTCTTTCCTTTTCAATAATCAAACTTAATTAAATAAAACTCTCGCTCTTTAGGACAATGCGTTTATCTTTGTATCTCCACTATGATTGTTTTATTCCATTACATCTAAAAGAACGATCTATGTATTCTCTTATAATTCTATCCAGCCTTAAACCTTTAGATCCCAAAGGCTCTTTCAAAGTTCTAATTTACGATAATAATATTATAAATTATGTCATCAACATATAATACAAATTGAGAGACCTCATCTTGTATACGTTTTACAAGCTCATCTATAACTAAAGTTGAAGGATAAGGATCGTTGGCTTAAGGCATCAAAATGGGCTGAGCTGCCTAGGCATGTGTCATACTTATTTCTCCACACCCAAGGCTCGTGCGGACATTACTATCCACACTTGATGTTAATATATTTAACAGAAATTCATTTTACCTGGACATCAACAATAGCACTTCTCTGAGCATCTTATCATAAGCTTCTCCTAATATGCAAATTTTGCTTCTCTTTTCTATAGTTTTCCATCAATATCAGAACTAGGTATATATATGATTGCAGAATATACAGAAAAGTGTTTTCGGCTGGGCAAAACTAACCATGTAAATGGTCTTCTAGAGATCCCAATGGCATATACTCATAAACAAGAAGCCGTTGATCGCCATCAGCGCAATATCCTATCAAGTTGACAAGATTTGGATGGTGCAAGAGGCTAAGCATAAGAACCTCCACCAAAAACTCTCTATTCCCTTGGGGACCATTTCGATCAAGCTGTTTAACAGCAACCACCTGCACACGACCGATTGGCAAGAGAAGTTATTGAAGGGAAGATTGAACATACCGACTAAAATTCCAAGAAAATGTGAAGCGTGGGTGGCATTCATCTCCCACTTTGATCAGTCGACTCATTACCAAGGATGACCTACCTGTCCTGTGCTTTCCAATCGGCCTTTGTAAACATGTCCAAACCCACCTTCACCCAGCAAACACTCTGGTCTAAAGTTTTGAGTTGCAGATGCAAGCTCACGAAAAGTAAATGTTTGTGCAGCTATGTGTGCTAGAGGCTCTTTAGGAGATGCTGCTTCCTTGGGATCATTACCACTCCGAGATTTTGATTTGTCTGGAATGCCAAAAGATTTTGACAGGATAATTAAAAAGAAAATAGTGAACAGGGAGCTGTTAACAATCAACAAATCTAAATCTTACACAATTGTCTAAACAATCTACAACTCAAACCCTCTGAGGGGAGTTTTTCTCTCTAAATTATTCTCACCATTTTAATTCCTTAAAATCCCACTCCACAACTGCACAAATAATTTGAAATCACATAGCGATGGCATACCATTTCATGATGCATTTCTTCACTTACAAATGCAGAGTTAAATAATGCATTCTGAGAATAATGTGCCATCTGCATTTATTCACTCAAACATGAAAAAAAAAGAAAAAAAAAAAGAGAGCGAGAGAAGGAAAAACTCAAAGGATGCAACAGGAACCAGTTACCAGCATTTCCTTGTGTGATGTTTTGCTAGAATTCATAAAATTAACCAAAGTTAAAGCATTCCAGGATCACTAACTAAAGGCAAAAATTCCCATAAAAGCTAAAAATACACCAAGTATTCCTGGATATCAAATATCAGAAAAGCTAGAAGCAATCCCCAAACTAAAAGTTCCTTTATGATCTAAGCCCACTACTCTTATTAGTCCCAAAAATCAAAATTACCCAAATCCTAAAATATGGAAGGAAAAAATAAATCAGATCGAGATAAGGAAAATAATTTTTACAGCAAACACAACATAAGAACTAATATTCAAAATCCAAAGCACAATTATGGATTAAAAAAATCCCGTAAAGTAATTTTTCCTCAAAATTGAAGGGGAAAAAGTTCTAAATTGAAATTATTACCTGAACTGGCTCTGTTCACATGGTTTTGAGAATGAGCTCCTGAACCTTCTTTGAATGACTCCTTTTTTGCCACTTCTTTTACACCATTGACATTATTTTGTTCCTTTTCTGACGATCCAAAGCATGGGAAACAGCCCATCTTCAATTAAAACAATGAACCCCAAAATTATCAATCTATCAGTACCTATCTATGTGTTCATATAAATGTTTTTCAACACCAACTGGGTTTTTTTCAGCTTTTGCTGACAGCCCATCTCATAAAAATCCTAATTTTGAACTTCCTTTGGGAGATCTCCATCTGTGAATCCAATAAGCTCAACAGCAGATCAACACACTGATAATTTTGAGACAAAAGAAGATCAGCGAATCCAAGAAAATTTAGGAAAAGGAAATATTTTGCAATAAATATTAATTATGGAAAATTGTATGAATGTTTGCTTTCTTTTATACATGGAAAGAAAGAATTGGGAGTGATAAAAGTCAAAAAAGGAGATTTATCATTTTGGTGATTTAAATTTTTAGTAAGAGCGTAATTATATGAATCTTCTCCGCATAATCTCCTTGGAACTGTGTAATAATATGTGTCTAAATATTTGGGCACAGATGTTTCGACGTTTGTAATATAACAGCAAGTTAGTTTTCGACTTTTGCAAGGATCGTCTCAAGCACTCGTATCAACTCAAGCCTCAAGTTTGTACATCTCGAGCTTACGATTTTTCGTTGACTTAGCTCCGATTTGATTTAGTTAAAAACGTTGATAAAATTTTAAATTGAAGTCAACAGTTAATTTTAACAATATTTTATAGACTCACAGTTTGTATCAACTTTTCAATTACATATTTCATTAATTTTTATTAAGATCTGCTAAAAAAAATCATTTTTTGGAAATCCAAATAGGGCTTTAATCATTAGAAATGTAATTGTTTATTAAAAAGATAGATTATACTATGATTTCAATTAGAAATAAAAGAAATGAAAAAAATCATCATGTTTTCCATCATCCTCCAATTTTAAATTTGCCTGTAGGGTTGTTACGGGAGAAAGATTCATTCTCCAAGTCAGCTTGGGACTCCTCTTGAAAAATATGTCCCATTCGAAGATGCCCCGAGACTCGAGAAAAATGAAGTTTCTCTTAACTGGTGCATATTTTAAGTAGCGAATAAGGAGATATGGTAGCGAAAAGAGAGCTGAAATAATAGGAGGAGATTTGCACACAGACGAGACTATATCACGTGGAGCCGAGCATGAGCTAGATATCGAAGTAAGAACTGGGTGTGAGGATTGACATTTGTAAAGAAATTTGTTTATCTATCGCATCTTCCAAAGAGTTAAACGTGAAAATGAAGCTTCTAATTTAACGAGTGTGATGCGGAACACATTGTTACAAACTTAAATTTTTGGATGAGCTTACACTAAAAATTAAGTTGGGGGCAATTTGTTACATCGTAAATTAGTTGAGGACTTCCATAACTATTTATCCTAAACGTTTTATATAACATTGTAAATCTACCTTAGATACGAGTTCTAACAACAAAAATTATTGATGACTTATTTGCAATGTTATCTTTTTGAGCATGGCATGGTGGATTAGAGCGACAAATTGTGCGAATTCCACCATATAAGCGGTTAATTATGTCGTAGGAAGATAAAATACAGATATCGACTGCAAAACGTAATAGTCGATGAAGTTACTTCACATGTTTCATAAGAACGATACAAAGGTGACAACAAAATACACTATTGGAGGGAGGGAGGGAGCACGAGTCCCTTAAATTATGGGATTTTTTAATAATTTTTTGCATTAAAAAATTGTTATAAATATTAAAATTTCAGTTTAGTAATAATAATAATGTCTTTGTTTTTCAGAAGAAAAAAGAATTAAAAAATCCTTATTCTTTTACACACAAATATAGTCAAAATTTGGTTGAATGCACAACCATTTATGAAGAAAGTTGTGCACAATATTTGAATAAGACGACTCTGGTCGTGACGGTGAGTTTTTTTTAATTTTTTAGGTAATAATTTTGTCTTTTCTTCACTTGTTGGGAATGAATTTATTGTATTTTTTTTATTTTTATTTTTTGTATTTACTTGCATGTATATGATTCCACTTATTTTTCCAATCTTTTTATTGGGTTATGTCCAACGAAACATTTTTAAGAACAGTAATGATAAAATTTGATGATTCTTCTTTTCTAATTTTTTACTATGTTAATTGCATTTTATGTACAGTTAAATCAAAGTTGATTACTTTTATATTTTCTTAATATATTTTCTAAATAAAATAAGTAGCTTTACTATTTTTCAAATGCTGCTCTTTTTCTAGCTACAGTTGCATAATCGACCGTGGCCATATACGGCCATAGCGTCATGTTATCAAAATCTTGGCTCAGTCTCAGTCTCAGTCTCAGTCTCAGTCTCAGCCTCATTTTTATTTTTTATCAAAACTAATTTTTAACCATACATTTTCACATAAAATAATTTTACACGTAAACTCAATATTTTTCTTACTTTTTAACCATACATTCTTAAAGAATCACTATTACAAAACTCATTTTTCTCAAAAATAAAAAAATATGGCTCAAATAGGAGCTAACTAATTAATGAATGAGTGTGTTTTCAATATGTGTAAAAAATAAATATGCTAAATGTAGTAAAATTTAATAATGACAACATACTTATATTTTTAGTAAGAGTAATATTATTAGTACCAATGGTGCCAAGCACCATAACATTTAATGTAGGACAATTTATTAAAACCATTGCATTTTCACTAAATGTAAATCTAAGACCTCTCTTCTTGAACTTATGTTTCATTCATGAAATTTCATTATTGACTAAGGACATCCACTGATAAGTGAATGATGTACGTCATAACATTACCTTGTACATATATAACAACTCGAGAATAGTTAAAAGGCATGAAATTATATTATCTTAATTTAAATGTTAAGCATGTTTTGAGTATAATTTGACTCCATCACAGATAATATATTATCATAGAAGTACAAATTTCGCAATGATCGTTTTTTAATATTTTATACACTTCTTATTTTCTCCCCACAAATTAAAGAACGCAAGCTCAAATGAACTCATCTTTTTCCTTCAAAATTGTAATTCTAAAATGTTGGTCCTAGAGTTCACAAAGAATACAAAAGTAACTAAGTAAAGTGCGAGAAATAAAGAAACAACACGAAGTATTTTTCCCCCAAAAGGGTCCGGATGTTCAGTCTTCGGCCTACTCACCCGTTGAGCATCCACACAAAGGGATTAAACTCTAGTTCCTCTAAAATCACCAAGAACAGATTACAATGTATGAAGAAATCAGAGATTTCTTCAATATTTCTCTCGCCTCAAATATCACTCAGAAATTATACACAATCTCATAGAATCTACATCAAGCGTAGTTACTGCCTTACCACTAAGAATATACANTACTCACTGCCTTATCACTAAGAGAATTACACAGAAAATCACTCAAATTTTCAAACGACAGAGAGAGAGAGAGAGAGATGAACTCTAATCAAACATAGAAAACCATCTCAAAAGTCACTCAAAACCGACTAAAGAATGAAGCTTCGAGAACACACTTAAGGCTACGAGATCAGAGGTCTTTATCAACGGTGAGGATCTGGTCAAGTGTAAGGCCAGATAGCAGAGCCCAAAAGGAAATGATCCTGGGCCAAGGAAACCGATACAACACAGGCCAAATACAACCAACAGGACAAAGTAATTATGATGTAGCCCAAAACATAACATAAAATAAAGCAGTTCTTAAATCTGATAGTTACTATTTATGAAGAAAGGAATCTTAAATGCATGTGAATGGTACCATTGATGAAATAATAACAGGTGGTTATTTGATGCATGAGTTAATAAAAAGCTACCACATTAATATATCAAATAATCATCAGCCATGTATATTCCATGTATGACGATTACTGTAGTAAGCAACTACTAATCGCATTACTGTTTATGAAAATGGTTGTTGTTGTGAAGGACATGTTCACAGGGCTTTCGCTTTTACTTCTTGTACAAGAGCTTTTTGAGAATGTTACTATATAGTAGTTTTTAAAAAAATTATCTTCTAATAAGAAAAAATACTTGCAAAAAATTATTCAAACATATTTAAAAATAACTTCTTAATCTCAAGAGTAGTTTTTGACTTTTCAAAAGTTCTGTCAAATAGATTCTAATTAAGTAATGCCTCAATTATTATTGCATCCACCCATGTACGATAGATAAACACCTCAATTAAATTGACAATAAAGTTTTTTTTGGTACAATTGTTCGTATATTTTTATAGACTAATGCTAATGTATGAATAGATGTAACTACTCGTTATAAGAAATATGACGTCAACAAAGAATGTTCTAACGGTAAAAAAGAACGTCAAAAATTAAAGCCAAAAATAAAAATAAAAAATTCAATGTATACCGTAAAATTTATGTTCGTATTTTTAAATGATTATTGAATTGATTAGTAATACTTCTGCTATTGCTTCTATATTTTTAAAAGTAGGGTTTTAAAAAACCCATTATAAGAAGGGTTTATAATTTACAAACCATATTAATTACGGTATTAAGTCCAAAATTGCACGCTAATCTTCTTTAAATCTCCATTCAACTTCTAAATTATTTTTCGGGCAGATTCTTCTTCAATTTGGACAAAATTCATAAGTTGCACATCTATTTTCAAGCATTAAAATAAACATTTTTCTTTATGATTTTTATTTGCTTATTATAAGTTGTCAAGTGAAAATTTTTAGATTTCAATAATAATTTATATTCTATTTCAATTTCATTCTCAAATTGCTTTACAAGTTAAGTTTTCAAGATAAATTACCAACACAAATTACTTTGCAAAATCTATTGAAATTCTATTATGGATTTGAGGTTTTTGTTTGTGTTAGTATATATTATTATATGAAAGTTCAACTTTGAATCAATAATGGCGAGTTAGTATATATGAAAATTCAATCTTGGATCAATTAGAGAGATGGATACAATCAGTTTGTAAAAATTATACTCATTTCGTCCCATTTATATAGGCTTGTTTTGTTTTTAACATGAATTAAGAAATCTTATTTAGGCCTTGTATGGGAGGGATTAAAATCAGATTAAAATTGAAAATATAGTC